TGACCTTAAGGCACGAAAACTTCATCCTGCACCATCCTTAAAGCCTTAGATATTCCAAAGGGACATAAGGTTGCAGTTTCTAGAAGCTCCCACCTTCAATGGACCTATCGTTGACCATCAGTTGCATATTCGCAACGCAACTTTCATGAAGCGCGCCAACTGTTATACTGACTAAAACCATCTACATCATATCTTTTAAATTATCAACCAGCTGAGTAATTTACTACAATGGATATTGTATCATTAGTAATAATTTGATCTTGCCTGTAAACTGGCATGCCTCTTGTAACATGCTGTTGTTTGAGAATAAATTATTATTATTATTAAGTCATCGCGCATCGAACAACAAGTAGCTCAGTGTTATTCAATATGTATGTATCTGAACCTTGATGATCAATATGCATCAAAATACACTTAGAAGTATTAATCGGCAACTAACAAGTTTGAGATAATTCAAACAACTTCTCCATGTCATTTTAAAGCTCTAAGCTACCACATTTACTTTTTATCGCTCTTCATATCTTGACATCGTCAGCATGTAGCAAGACCGACGATAATAGGATATGAGGAAGGGCATTCACATAGAATGAATTTCATTGGGTCCTGTGGATTTGCATTTATCAAGCTTATTTAGCAGATAAAAAGGATCAGCTTATCTAGTGGTCACGTTGTCCAGTGTGCATGAGGTGATTTGTATATACTGACAGGAAGGGTGTTTCTAAGGTATATACAGCTTCAGAATACTTGAGATTTAAGATAGTCCTCCTCCACTAATGATAAAGCAATATGGTCACCCCATAATGCTTGAATACTCTGGATTGTAAAGGAGTACAAACGGTTAGGGCATTCTATGGGTTCCTTAACAATTTTTTTCTTTGTACAACCTTCTAGGTGGCCCGCTTGAATATCTGGGCTACCTGTACCTGCATCTAGATACTTCAACAAGTTGTAGATCACTGACGTAGATGATCTATGTCGAAAATGATTGCAGGCCTACTCGAGTTAGACGTGAATGGTGTGACAAACTAGCTAACATCGAAGTCACATCGCATGGTCAGCACCTTACGTGGACCACCCCATTGACATACCAAGGTACCATAGATGCTTTGAAGACTGTACAACACAGGGGACGTCGTTACAGAAATATGTTAGTTAAAGTAGATACAAGCAAAAGTGAGACCACCGCCGTATGGGCCAGTTCATGGTACACGATTAACTTACGCGGGTTGGTTGTACATGACCTTGGCAGGGAGCGATGACCTGTTCGACATTCAGTGATCCAACTGCCGGATGATTTGGCTAGGGCTCAGTGACATTAAACTGGCCCTACAAAGTTATCTGTCTTTTGTTTCTTTTAACAGGTCATTACGTCATTTAATTGCAAAACATATCCAGGTGTGTTTGTGAAAACTTTCGCTGTACAAGTTAAGAAAGAGCGCGATCAGAGACATTGTGGTTGCTGGCAATATATATCGAAAAGAATGTACATTACCCATATGTCGATTCCTGAACTGCTAGCATCTAATTAATGATTACTCAATATTTATCGTCAGGATTGATCAAAAAATAAGAAATGGAAACTTGTTGAAATACTTTATGCCGGGAATTCTATATTGAACCTGAAATATGATATTGAATAAAGCTAATAATGGTAGAATTACGGATGGTAGAGACACAAGTATTTCGATCTTCTCGATATTGAGATTTTGTCTCGTCACTACCCAGTAACCTAAATCTTTCCCACATTCTTCTCTTATGAGGAAGGGTGCGAACCTCCCTACTAAGCCATAGTGAAGAGCTTCTCGGACCCCTTGATGTAATCCAAGGCATGTGGAGTGGGGTAACTTTTAACTATAAATTTTAAAATACACTCTAATCTGTTTCAACTGGGGGACTCTGGATCCATTGTCCAATCTACTGACGACGCTGAGTGTATAATATTTTGTATATTTGCTTTCCAGACGTTGGGTCTGGATTGAGCTGACGTGTGCCCGTTTTTGACAACTGTATGGAAGTCAAAGGTTAGAACTGCTTGATCATTTTACCTAGGGGTGGCATGTAATAGTGGTTCGTGACGTCATCCTCATAATGGATCAATATAAGATCTAGTAAGGATGATTCAGAGTCCGGGTCGTACCTAGTCGCTTCTTTCACATGTTGCACTAGGGCACATGCGATATCCTCATTAACTAAATTCTGCTCAAATGAATTTTCTGACACTTTGGTTCTCAGATTTTTCTTGTCTATAGTGAGTGCATCAAAGTTTCCTAGGGTTGAGACTGCCTATCATGACCTCATTTACCTCACAAACTGAAAAGCGGTAGACCAAATCAATCAGCAGATCTTGTCCTTTGCATTTCAAGCGGAAATCAAAAAATTCATACGTTCCAACATCATGAGATACACTGTCGATAATGGCAGATGGGATAATATTCCTAATAAATAGAGTTACTCCTCATTTACATTTCGGAATTCTGTCGGCTCATACTAAAGTGAAACTTTCAAAACCAAGTTCCTTACTAACTAAACGTTGCTTCAGCCAAGTTTCTACGTCTGCGATTACATCTAACTTGGTAGAGTCATTTTGTACACCTAGTTCCGATCGCTTATTGAGCAAGCTCCAGGCATTTGTGCTGCATCCATAGTGGCTTCGGCATCATTCTCTGTCGAAGCCGTTGTAGAACCCTAGTGTGATTCGATGTTGTGGAATAGTTTATATAACCTTCGCTGGTCGTCTTGGTTTCCGTGTTTAAAGATGAACTGTATCTAAGGATAGTAAGATTTACTAGCTCCAAAAACTTAAGAGGGGATTACGAGTTAAGCGTTACTGGGACTAAAGTAGAGGCGGTCGTAAATAAGCCAGTTACTTTATAAAAGATCGTAACGAAGTTCACAGCCATGAAACCCTATATACAAATTAGTGACGTATATCCTCACAAATTTGCTACATAGTTTACAAACGTTAACAAGTATGGATTAGCTAAAACTCACTTTGGTGTTTTATTCTAACACAAATTCAAGTACTTTTTTCCGCACGTAACTTAGATCTGTAAAGTCACTTTTGGGTACGTTATTAAGCTATACATTACTGAAGTTCACTTAAGCATGACTATAGTCATATATTTCGATATAACAATTTTTTATAAGAATTTACATTAAAGTGCTTTTCTAGTGAAAATCATACGTAGCAAAACTGCACTGTTCGAAACCTTAGATTATGTTTGCTCAGTAAAAAGTGGAGTAATATTAAAATCGAGAATTCATGGCAATATAAAGAATAAGTGTCCCAGTGTTAATATGAATGGTCATCGTTTATATCAATCAGCGTCTCTGGGTTACCAATATGTACTGGTTAGGATTCACACACGAGACGAACTAGTTTCTAAATCATGCAAACCCAACTTGGTTCATGTACTTGTTTAAAGCTAATTGACTATCTGAATATCAAAACATGGTTGGAGATCAAGAGATTTAATCGTCAAGCCATCGTAAAATTACTTTAAAACCATTTTTACGGATACGGACTCTTAATGTAAGTTTTTTACTACCTACATGCTAATTTTAAAGTTAGATTAGATACAAGGCCAACGTTATTTTTAGACGCCCCAAATGCCTTGGTACGGCCGAGGGTGGGGTAAGTCCGCTCTCCTCGAAATGATCTCACAGCATGGGTGTTGTTTAAGAAATTGTGAAGACGAAAAGCGAATGTCCGGCGCTTTAACCAGGTTGATGAATATGGAGGACCCGAACCTGATTCCAAACCAATGGTGCACATGGGCTCCAGGATTCTGAGGAAACAAAGGCGTACGGACCGATTGTTGGTCCCCGGCTACCATGGGATTGCATCTCCTGAAATTCTCCACTGCCTTGTGGATCAGTCCTTCAAATCGAAGGCTCCAAGTGCGCCTCCCCCCAAGTAAACCATCTGCTTCGTTTCGGGCACCCAGGAAGTATCACAGCTCACACACAAATCAAGTGACTTGTGTGGCACATATGTATTCAGCGCCCCTTTGTATCAATATTTATGTGTTCAAATAAATAATTTTCAGACACTCATAGTTAATGAGTATGAGTTCTGTTTCATTATAAATTTCACTTTCTAAAATAATCGGTCTTCTAGACATACAGGGAAAAATATAGCTGATAGTTATAACATTTGTGAAATTATACTACTCGGTGGTGTTTCATTCCTTATGAATGTCAGGGTGCACATGGGCTCCAGTATCCTGCTGGAACAAATGGCGTATGAACCAATCGTTGGTCACCGGCTTCCATGGGACTGCATCTCCTTACGATGCTCCACTGCCTTGTGGATCAGACCTTCAGGTCGAAGGCCCGGGCCGTATCACAGCCCTCACACATATCGAATGAGATTTGTGTGGCGCATATATATTTGTTGCCTCCTTGCACCAATATCTATGTGTCAAAATAAAATAATGTCAGAGCGGAATTTCTGTTGATCATTATCTTTACAATCGGGTTGTATAAAATATGATGTTCAATTGTATACGTGAAACCACACTTTAAATTTACTATTACCACTTTGAGTTTGTGCTAACTCAAGTATTTGGAAATACGCCTCTTTAGCTTAGCGTATGTTTCGTTTAATAATAATAATGTTTAATAATTTTGTAATTTATACAGTAGGCCTGTTCAAACCAATGAATCTTACAAAAGAAGTTGATTTCGGACCGATTCGTGGAAGGGGTCTTGTTGCTGCTCAATTTATAAATCCTGAAGACATTCTTTTTTCAGAAGACCCTCTTATATGCTGTCAGTTTTCATGGAACAAGCTCTATGGATATAAAGCTTGCGATCATTGTTTATGTCCACTCGAAACATCGGAGGAGAATGCTAGAAGACTTACTAACAATCCGTCGCTTGTATTACCTTATCCAGAGGCATCGTTTCACTGTAGCCAAACTGTCACTGTCCTAATTGCTTAGCTAACTACTGTTCCCCAAACTGTCTCGAATCAGCTGCTCTTATATCATTCTACAATGTGTATGGCATCCATCGAAAAAGGCAAGGAAAATCCGTTAGAAAAATTAGACATAATCTGGCGACAGTCTCATTATCCTCCAGAAAGTGGTACTATCTTTAAAATCGTTCGTATTGCTGCTGCATGTCTATCAGCGTGTATTATTGGTTCATCGACCTCACAGCAATTAGTTGAAGCACTAAGACAGTTTGATTCTAGTACAAGTGCAATGATCAATGAAAATGCAAAAAATATTCTCTATCATCAAATACTTGGTGATCAGTTTGCTACATATATCGAAGAGAATCATAGTGCATTTATTGAAGTAAACTTATTTTTATGTCAAAAGTTTAGTCATGCTACATCTTATGATGAATGCATTCAAACCCTGCAAAAAGCCGGGATAAACACATTATTAGAGAAAAATCAATTTACAAGTGCTTTATGTCTGATTAGTCGTAATGGTCAAGGTATTGCAACAAGTGCTTTCAGTGTCTGGGATAATCAGGCTGGAAAATTAGTTGATACAACAAATGAACAAACATCTAATGAATTTAATTCGATTGTCGACCGGCTATACTCGGCAATTGATGATCACGTCGGTCTTTTTTGGACAACGAAGGGGTCGGTTAATATTACTACCAAAGTAAGCATTTTTAGATTCGTTTTTATATTTCAGCTAAACTCTTACGGCGATTTGATGTGAATAGACTGATATGTTTTGATACTCTGTTGGGAAGTCTAGAGTTATGTTCTCGATTCGGTCTAACCACACTTTTATTTGCCCGGTGATCCCAGCAGATACAAGCAAAATTTCTAAGACATCTGTGATCAAATACTAGTAACTTACGAGTATCCTCTATTCTTAATGGCCACGTTTCGCAGCCGTAAAGTAAAACAGGACGAACTGCTGAGAGGTATACTCGTTCATTAATTGATAGACGGATATCTCTCCTTCGCCAATGGTGACGGTGACAAAAGCCAAAAGAGCGTTTTTGAACGGGTCAGAAATTTCGTCAGACACCAACCCGTTACGGTTAATCAAACTTCCAAGATGAGTGAAGTTATCGACGCGTTCGACCATTTCACTTCCTATCCTTAGATCAGGTGTTGATACAGGCTAGGTTCGAAGCAAAAATTTGATTTGGAGGAAGAAAAGAATCCCAACCATCCTGGCATTGTTGCTCAGTGCTGCCAAAAGACCGCATTTTACCAGCGTCTTCAACATGCAGAGCTGCATCATCTGCATATTATAAGGCAACAAGTGGATCTTCTGGTAAGAAATTTATTCCCGAAAATTCAAATGACGAGAACGTTGATTCCAGCAGTAGGTCTCTGATGAAATTTCTCGGTTACGGAGTCAAATGCTGCTTTTAAGTCGAGGAAAACCATTGTCGGACGCCGATAAGCATGAATGTGCTCTACAATCTGAAGAATGGCAAATATGTGGTTGAAGCAGCCACGACTAGGTCTGAAGCCTGTCTGATTTTCTCGTGTTTACAGTTCACGAGTCTTTGTTAGGCGTTCGATAATTATTGAGGCTAGTATTTTAAACGCTATATTAGTCAAGCAACCCGTCAGTGGTTACCACAGGATGAATTTGATCCATTCTTATATATTGGGACGATAAGTGATTGTGACCAGTCAGATGGGATAACGTCTAACTCCTAGATCTTAGCAAAAAAATTAGTCAACCTAATCGCTGACACTGGACTAACATCCTTAAAGACTTCTGGAGTTAATCTAATTGCTCTTCCTCGTTTCAGATTAGCTATAGCCTTTTGAAACTTCAATTAGAGTCGGGGGGCCTCACTTTCACTTGACTTCTTAGTTCCAGTTTCTTTTATTAGTCTGAAAGGCTGTCTGATATTACATACAGCCGCTGCCTTTTCCATCTCTTTTGCTTTCGTTGCCCACCACTGCTCAAGATCGTTCCGTAGACTTTTGTAGCCCTAGATCTGGTTTGTTTCCCCTCTTCATCGTGTGCGGAGGCTAATTGGACGAGTTTATGAGAGTATATCAATGTAGTAGATGTCGCAGAAATCCACTAGTTTTCCGTAACCCTTTAGTTCAAATCAATAATATATATCACTGCTGTTTCTATAGCTGTTCGTATATCTTTCCAAGCAACATCTAAGTCAGCCTCTTTTTCGAATTTACCTGAGTGTGATTTCAGTTGCTGCTGGAAGCTACCTTTCGCTTTTTCGTCGCTGAGTACAACTCTAATTGGTCTTCTTGATGTGGCTTTTCTGCATCTTATTAGGCACAAGCAATTGCGTTCTCGTAATAGAGAATGATCAGAGTTTAAACATATACTCCAGAACGAGCGTCAGTTTTCTATCGAGCCTCTCCAACAATGGATGATGGCAATGTGATCTGAGTCCATCGTTAGTTTGGTGCGGGGTATCGCCATGTTAGACAATGTCTCTCCTTATGCTTAAGATTAGTGCTTTTTATAAATAGACGATTGTCTGAGCACAGTTGCAGCAGACGGTCACCATTATTTGTTTGCTGAGCCGGAATAACAAAATACCCACCTAAATGTTCGGTTTAAGCTACATACTTGGACATTAAAGTAACCTACTACGAGTACTATATCTGAGTGTTTAGCCTTTTGAAGAAGTTCAGAAAGCTTTCTGCAAAAGTCAATTTTCACTTTATCCGGGCTGCAGTGAGTGGGAGCGTAGGCAGAAATGATGAAAAGGCAACGACTTGTGTCCCTATCCTTCTGAGTTCTTCCAGAGCCGTTTAGCCAAATAACGCATAGGCGAATGTTAATGGGGATCCATTCTAAAAGTGCTTGTTATGCCCACATACTTAGTGCTATGCCCATACCAATTAGTCCACGAGAATTTGCCGTCCGGTCGCCAGATAAACTGAGGGTGTATCTCGTCGGCTCTGCTTTGGCTAGATAAGGTCAAGTTTATGAACACATCAGGGTCCTGAATGTGGTTTTAGGAGACGCAGCATGCATCTATGTTAGGAGATTCTAGGGTTTTAGCCAAGAAGTCCTGTTGGCCTATTTGACACAGGGGAAGTCCGCGGAAGGTACCAATGTGTAGTTTGGAGCGAGGTTTCAGTAGACCTTGGACAGTGTTTTGAGCAATAGAATCTTTGGCTATGGTGACACTTGAGGAGCAAGCCAAAAGAGAAAGTTTAGTGTTGAAAGTCGATATAGGGGGAATAATCGGAATTACAGAGGGAGATTGATTATGAATACAGTGGTGTTGAGTGCTGTTAAAGGTTTGAGTGTGGTTATCACTTCCCGGCCGCTCACATCGCGAAAAGGTTCTGGAGGTACTTGAAAAGGGAATTGGATTAGGGGTGGTCTTAGTGACCTGAGAGAGTTCATCGATAATTATTAGGTTTAAAGAAGAAATTTTAAGTGCAAGAAAAGTTGTTAACATCCTTATCGAAGTTATATATATGGTGGTAACTAGAATGTGCTTTTGTCTAAGTGTTTGATCTTATAGGCTGTAACTTAAACAAGCCGTAGCACTGGAAAGACAAAGAATTTCTATACGAGAAGAAATCATTAATCTATAAGGCAGTGCCCAAAAGACAACTGCTTGAGGCCGGTCACACAGCATATTTGTGTCAGCTCTGTACTTGAGACCTTACCGCCGGAGACGAAGATCCATGGTATAAGGCGAGATGTGCATTTTTCCACCCCCACCCTTTCTTGTGGGAAGGCAGCATCGCTGTTATGATGGTTGTCCGAGGAAAACATTTTACTGCCGTCAAACCTCTGTACATTCAGCAGTACGACTTCGCCTTCAAACCTTGGGTTTGCTGCTTTTAGTCCTAACGAACTGTCTGGCATGGTTCAACCTTGAGGAAATTTTGTTCTAGCCAATGTAGCCCAGTTGGCTCATGACGATGGTATTTTATCCTTCCCTACCTAGCAGTATTGGAACGTAGAAGTTTGATATGTGGATTAATAAGTCCATGAATATTTAAGTATAAATACGGATCAGTGCCAGAAAGAAATCAGTGTAGTATACAACTTTCGTATATTCCCTATCACAGAATACTAATTTCTAGTTTGCTATATTCTAAGGCTTGATCGTCATTACTTTTTCTTCTTTGCCGCTTAGGTCGGATTAATCATAGTTGTTCACCGAATGCAATAATTCGTTTCAGTGGAGTCAATAGTCGACTATCTGTGGTTGCATTGACACCGATTCAAGAAGGTGAAGAAGTCACTATCTCCTATTTGGATCATTGTCTACAATCACGTGGTCGTCACACAAGACGTAAATACTTATCATCAAAATTTTTGTTTTGGTGTGATTGCCCTAAGTGTGAAATGGAAAAGATTGATGGTGCATTAAGCGTGACATCCTCATCTGAAGACGATGAAGATGGTGATGACTATTGTACTCAACAAGGCAAATGTGAATAATTTCATGAAAACTCGTCATACCCTCCCACCCAACCACTCACCCTCAATACACATGAAATAAGCTATTTTGACAAATTCTTTGTATGATAATTTGTGTAAAATAAAATTCAAATCATGAATAATCCTTTTGGTAATTGTTCTTGCTCTGTTACGTTGTTATTGATTGACTGAACAATTGTTTGATAAAGATATCTGTGTCCAGCTCAAACTAAAATAGACGTGAAGTAGAATACCAGTCTCTTTACAGATTGTCAAAATTTAAGCGTTTGCACGACTGAGAAAGTCACGTAGCTAACTCTTAATTTAACTCTTTTTTGTCATTAGTTAGTCACTATTGAAAATTATCTCTGAACATGGGTAATTCTAAACAAATCAAGAATTAATATTACCATTAAGTCAGAAGTGAAATCAGTCTTAATCCACATTTACTATGCACGACAAACATTGTGAAACGTAGAAAATTATGACAAGAACCAATTCAGATTGCTTTTATTTAAAGACTGGACGAAAAACAGTTCAGTATTTATGCCTCCCTCTTAATTGTAGTATACCAAGACAAACGTTTGCATAAATTCTAGAAGGGAAGGTCAATAGAGCCATGGGCTAGTAGCTAAGGTGTTCAACCTTCAGCCATCAAGTCCCGGGTTCAAACCCCACCCCATCTGCTCCTCTTTGGCAACTAGGTTGTAAAATAAGCCTTCACATTTAAAGTGTGCCTGATACCCAAGAAATGAGAACCAAACCCTTTTTCAAAAAATGACACTAATGTATAGCTTTGGCTTAACGGCTAAAACACTCGGTGTTAGATTTATGTTTTATAACTGTATTACTCATGGGTAACGCGTTTTTACGTCACAATCCTCTTTCGTACGCTTCATCGAATAATCGTGAACTAACTGTTCTTTATTGGTCGATACACATTTTGCACGTCCAGCCATATTGAACTAGTCACGTTTTGCTCGTCTATGCTAAGTTTATCACCCTCAATGTGATTTCTAAATTAAACTAATTATTTTTTTGTTTAGTACCATTTATTATTTGTATGTATTCATACATAAATATTCCTATAAGTCAAGACAGTTTTCTTACGTTAACCAACCTCGGATTTGTTATTCTGGCTAATCTGACGCTCAGTTTTTAACCAACAAGGTACAGGTTTGAAATTAAGCTTTATCTGATTGAGTCTCGGTAGCCAGGTTCTATCATTAGCCCTCATATAGACAGCATGACTTTGCGTTTCAAATACATAGACTTAGACTTGGTAAGAATAATTTAGATTAATTAAGTACTATAACCGAACTATGGTCCATTTGTGATTAGAAATTTTAATTTTAATTTCCATATTGGGGATTAAGACAAGCACGTTATTATACAACCAGATTTTACAACGGTTTTGTAATATAAACATGCAAATTATTCGATTAAATAGTAGTAAACTGATACATTCGGGGATATCTGCTTGACTACAAGCCATAAAATCTTGTCGAAACTTTTGTTTTTACTTTATTCTTAAGGTTTATCTTCATGTTCATGGAACCTATATTTCTTGACTGGTAAATTTTACATATGATTCCCGTTACTTTATAGACAAATTGATCTCTTTAGTATGCAAAACTTATTGAAGACAGAAATCACAAATGACATAGATAAATCTAAATAAAGAAGTGTATGCAAATGAAATATGTTGTTTGATACTGTTTTTATATAGATGCAGTTTGATGTTGTTTGTGTTAGTACCCAGCAACAGTAAATCTAAACTGGCTTCTGGGAATCTTCTCGTCTTTACATCTGTACGTTAATCAGTGCTGCCTCTTTCTAATTGAGACTAAAACAACCTATACCAATTGATATAGGGGCTAGTAGAGATTGAATTTTCATGGTTTGCATTACTGATTGATCTTAGTTACATAACCAGTATTCACTGGACAGCTATTTCATCGTAGTATGAAACTCCTTAACAGTGCCCATTCAATACCTCGAGTGGGATCAAATCCAGGACCTTCTGGTCCTAACCTTTAGACCACTGAGCCAACATCTGGCGGTTTGTATATCTAACTTTGGTTAATTCATAATATTGCGCGATTATCTTCCATTGTTTTTGTTGGTTAACTGCCTTTCTCTCTCACGGCTTCTCACTAGAACTTCGGTAACTACCTCTCAAATATGGTCACTAGTGAATATTTGGTTACAGTTGCATTACAGGTTTGTAGCGATTGTTGAATTTTCATGGTTTTCATCACGTATCTGAAAGACTTGGGCTCGATCGTCAGTGGGATCGTGGATATACACTGTTGATGAGTCTCATACTATGACGGGACAGTTATCCAGTTTCAGTGCCTTCTTATTTTTCAGCGGTTGTATAACTTTTACATAAACTCTGATTACACAGATCGAGTCAAACACACTTAATGTAACTGATTGACAAAGTGGATAGTGTATTAGTCGACACTTCAACAAATAAGAGAATGGTATAGGTCGCTTTTAGTATTAGGAGGGGACTAGACAAATATTCCTACTTATATCAAAACCCCTTATAAGTTTATAGACCTAGCACACTCCCACATCTGGTCAGCAGGCTTTTTCCAGACATGACACAACTAATCGGTTACTGGGTCGAATTCTAGAAAGCTCTGAGCTTTCATTTCTTACTAGTTTGAACTCTCATTATTAAAGTATATTTGTAACCTTGATTGAACCGATGTTCCTCGTAGGATTCGAAATAGTGCCGTAATTGAGGATGTCACCATTAAGCTGTTCTGGGAATAACTGATCTGTCAAACTTTGATGTTGAGTCACCTAAAAGTGATAGCTGCACTTCAACTCCACCTGTAGAATTTAATCACTACCTAAAGACTACAATGCAGGATTCGGCATTATTCAGTGACAAACTGGTTTACCTAATAGTTTTCTGGCTTAGTTAAAAAATTTATTTGGCTTAGATTTCTATTTAACAAAATGATTCTATAATGAGAGTACTTTCTATTTCAATTTCTTCTTAGTGTGAACGCCTGTTCTGTTGTTTCCGTAGTTCCGACGTCGACGACAACGACAATTCACAGATCCGTTATGAATCCTATTCGGAACGTGGCGGTGGTGGGGGACCCGTAGACTTAGAGACTCGTAGACGATTACAAGTAGAAGCTATCGAACGCCGATTAGCTGAAAGTGAATCACGTGGGATTGGAGATCTTGCAAAAGTTAGAAAAAAACAAGAACGTATTGAAGAGTTAGAAAAGAAACAGTATAGTGATAAACCATCAGATAATACATTACGATGGAATGTCAGTTAGTTGGACTGTATAAAATTATATTATTCACTTCGTTTCTTTCTGAATTCTTGTAAGTAGATCATGATGTTATACTCTTCTAAAATTATTGTTGAAGTACATTCATTATTATTTATGCTGCATAATAATATTTTGTCAAATAATGGTCTTTTAATCAAGTTTCTTTTTCGAAAATTTATACATAATTTCATTATTTAATAATAAATCAACTTTTTATTAATTGGACTAACCAACTTATTGAAATTTTCACATTGACTATAATTCCTGTCACGTGATTAGGTTAATGCCAACGTTATAAAACAGATATCGACTTAATTTGTAAAAAAAAATTTGGCAATCACTAACTTTTGACTTTAGTTGTTTAAAGACATTTCACTCCCTACGAAAGCTGAAGATAATCTGTACTGTCCTAATAAGGAGGAGTCTTACTCCCGAATAAAGCATTTTTCTAGTACTTCCTAGTATTTTAGTTAAATTCCATTCTCAACAAACACTTGATTTACTTTTATTTCCAAATCATGACTTTAAGTTATAGTGGTATTCAACTCCCGTGAACCGAAATATGTATCATTCGTTCTTTTATCGAATTTGTTTTCAAACTTAGTGTTGGTGGATTTTACGTACATATCAAGAGTATTGTCAGATTCTCTAGAATAATGTACTGAAGGTTGTCTCGGCTTTTCAAACATGTAACTCTATATACCTACATAACTGGTTTTTACCTATTAATTTGAGAATTCAAGTTGATTTCGCCCATTTTGATTCATTTGACGAATTAGTATCGAAAAAAGCCTTTACACAATAAGTCTATGTGAAACTTTATTGCACGTATAAATAGATACTATGATTTTCCAACTGCGTTGCTCTCTACTTTTGTTTTACGATTTAAAAGTATTTCATATTAAGAATTATATTCAGTCCGATTTCATGGTGGAGTAAAATCGTTTTGTATCTAATAGTCATCTAATTGGTTGCTTAATTGATGCACGATTTGGTGAATTGTAGGGCTTAAACTAATTTGTGGATATCTCACTGACTTGATTGAATGAGATCTTTGCACTGAAGTGGCTTAACTGGCTGACGTTAAACTAAAAAATTTATTCATATGTAATTTAAGTATGAAAACAAGAATCCTGTTCTTATGGATAAATCTTTCCTGATTGCTACCTGACGCCATATGTCATAAGTCTATTTAGTTTTTGAGTAAGTGAAATCAAGTTTCTGTAGGTATTTATGATTAGTTTAAGACATATTAGTTCATTTCAGATAGTCAATTTAAGACTTCATAACTTTCTGAATATTCTTCGTTTAACGACTTTGCTCCTTCCTAGTTTGACCTCACCTTGTATAATTTTGCTCTTTGTAAACTACTTCTAACTTATACCCTGCAAACGAACGATCTCATTTTATGGTCAATATATTTGATTATCTGTGAAACAATCGGATTTCTAAATATATGTTTACCCAACTTTATTAAATGGTAGCCAGATCTTTTGGTACTCTCAATTATGTATTTTGACATCTTTCAATATTCCACTAGGAATTTTTATTACTTTGAAAATAAAGTACAACTCCACTCTTATTTAAAGATGAGTTTACAAGCTGAATTAAAGTTTAATTTCTTTCACTTCAAAAGTTGAAAGTAGGCATCAAATCTGATAAATTTATGTAATCAAACTTTCAGTAAATGTTAGAGGCCGATATTAGGTGGGTGGATTTAGTTGACGGGAAACCAACCGAGGATTCGTACTAATTATATTCTCTGTTATTTGTACATGTAAAAAAATTGGTATGTTAGAAAAGTGATCATGTCTATTAAACATATTTCGTACAATTAGTTGTATCTCAAAAATCTACTTACTAAAACAGTCATATACATGAGCAGAGATAGATGGTGGCTAGCAGTGGAATCTAGGACGCGCGTTTCGTCCTAATTGGGACTCGTCAACTGGATAGTAGTAGTTCTTTGACTACATTATCCTGTACTAGAAAAGTTATATTTAGATATGTAAGTCAGACTACACGTTTTAGAAATGCTCTGTCATATATTCAAAATAAGAAATTCCTTTCGTTCTGTTTAATTGTGGTTGATTTTCTTATTATGGAAATCGGTAATTATCGTGTCCGTCTATTGACTTTGCTATTTATCACACGTGAGGTCAGGATCTTTTACATAACTAATGATACAGTGACCAATGAACAGCGATCAACATCTTAACGTCTAATGGTCCACGATATCCCCCTAACGCAGTGTTCAATCGGAAGACAACGTTAACAAGCGTTTATATGCTCAGTTGTTTTGTTATCACTATAACTCAACACATATAATAATAACGAGTTGATTACTGACCACACAACAATATGAATAGAAAATTATGATTTACTCCATAAGTGAAAGAGGGTTAGTTAACGGGTCCGTAATTAGTTAAGGTTGACTTAGAGGAAATAGAACATGTAATAACATTATAGCCCCCAAATGCCCTGGTATGGCCGAGAGCGGGGTGGGTTCGCCCTCCCTCTCGAAATACTCTCACACGGCCACGCGTATACAGCCTCTGACAGGGAAGTCCTACTCACTGCCTTCTCGTGGCGGGGGCGTTGTTTACGAAAATGAGAGGACGAAAAGCGAATGTCCGGCGCTTTAACCGGATTCCAAATCAATGGTGCACATGAGCACCAGTATCCTGAGGGAACAAATGGCGTATGAACCAATCGTTGGTCATCGGCTATCATGTGACTGCATCTTCTCACGGTGCTCCACTGCCTTGTGGGTTAGAACTTTAGGTCAAAGGCCCGAGGTGTGGCCCCCTAAGAAAACCACCTGCTTCGGTCTGGGTACCCGGGCAGTATCGCAGCCCAAACGCAATTAATGAACTGAATTGTTTATGATCATGGAAACTAATTCTCTTGCTTCGACGAACACTCAAATGATTCAATTATTATTGCTATTATTATTATTATTATTATTATTATTATTGTTATTATTATTATTATTATTATTATTATTATTATTATTATTATTATTATTATTATTATTATTATTATTATTATTTACTACGTCATTATTCACCCTCTTTTATTCCTACTCTGTCTATACTTATTTTTTTCGACGTATACAGCAGCTCGTCTATGGTGGAAATTCGACTGTATCTAAACGTTCTCGAATCACTGTCCGGTTGAAAATGGTATGTTACCACCGAATATGAGTACTGAAGCAGTTTTTCTGATACCACGTGCACCATTCAAACTCGCTGCCTTCAACGTTCGCACATTTATGCAGGTCGGACAACAGATAGGGCTGGCTATGTCTTTGGAAAGTCTTAATATCGATGTCTGCTGTCTATCCGATACCCGTATTCAAGACTCTGGCGAAGTACTACAAATTCGATCTCCATCTGTCGCTTCAAAAAGCTTGTTCTACGTGCGCTTATCCGGGGACCCTGTGGCATCTTCGTCTGGTCTTGCTGGCGTTGGTGTCGCACTAAGCGCTAGAGCTGAGGCAGCACTAATCGATTGGATCCCCATTAACAATCGGTTATGTGCTGTTTGATTAGTGAGTTCCATCATAGTGAGAAGAAAACGGCGCGAGAAACGATATCTCTTCGTCATTTCCGCCTATGCCCCGACAGATTGCAGCCCGGATGCAATCAAGGATGAGTTTTACCACCAGTTATCTGTTCTTCTCCAGAAAGTGCGTTCGACAGATATCGTAGTACTAGCCGGAGACTTGAATGCTCAGGGCGTCTAGGCACAGAAGAGTCGTTTAGGTGGTCGATGGGGACTCGTTAGTCGCATGTCAGATAACGGGGACCGTCTACTGCAACTGTGCACAGACCACAACCTGTTTCTGGCTAGCACTAACTTTCGGCACAGTCATCGCCGATGTGCTACCTGACGTCCTCCCTCTGCATCCCAAGCCTGGACTCTGATTGATCACATCGCGATCAGCTACCGCTGGCGTGGTTGTGTACAAGACTGCCGCTCCTTTTGGGGTACCTATCTCGACTCTGATCATGCCTTGGTCTACGCCAATCTTACCTTACTTTCCAGTGGCCAACGGAGTGACCGCCACCAAAGGATTGATGTCAGCAAGTTGTTTGCAACTCCTGTTGCTAGTAAGTATCGAATCGAGCTAGCTTCTAGGCTAGCTATCATTCCACCGAAAAGTATAGATGAGCATTGGTTGCAATTGCATGACCCCATGAAAATGGTGGGTACAGTCAGTTGTGGGTTCGCGAAACGTCCCGCTTATAAGCACTGGGTTTCTTCTGGTTCCTTACAACTCATTAAAGCCCGTCGGTCTACTCCGGGTGACCGTGAGTTTGACTACAAACGAAGGATGTTACGTAATGAAATTGGGCAAAGCTTGCGTAAGGACCGAGAAGCCCGGTGGTCGGAGCGTGCGAATGAGCTGGAAGCGGCAGCTGCATCTGGTAATTACCGGAAGCTCTTCCAACTCATCCGAGCCACTGGCAGCAAGAAGTCTGGTGTGAGTGAAACAATCTGCGAGGATGATGGGATGCCAATCACTAACATCCATCGACGTCTTGGACGATGGGCAGAATTTTTCGAAGGCCAGTTCAACTGGCCTGCTGCTCCGGTAGCACCGGTCAGACTGTCCTGCCCTCCATGGCCGGTGGCGACTGATCCACCAAGTGAGACGGAAGTCCGCAAAGAACTCCAACTCTTGAAGCACTACAAATCACCTGGCCCAGATGACTTACCTCCGGCTCTTTTTGAAGATGGTGGTGACTTTCTGACTAAGGGACTGTCGGGGACGATAGATCTCCAGACTCATATTTTTAAATTTTATCTTATCGATTAAATGTTAGATATTTTTATTGGGGTCAATTGATGAACTATCGATTAAATGCGCAAATAGGTCAATTAATGAACTCGTTGATTAATGTTTAAAAATTTTCTATGACAATATCGATTGTAAATAATTGTATAAATACGCTTGATTTGTATGTTTGATTTGACTTGTTATCTGCTGTGTGTCTGCAGAATACACTTTCTACACCTTACCCAGACTTCTTGATCGAGTTAGCAGAGTTGGGGACAACGAACCAGAATAGCTATCGAGTCGCTGAATCATCGATCCTTCGTTCGTTCGAGTAAGACGCATCAGTAATCGCATTCAAGCAATAACGAACCATAACAGAGACTGACGACGTTGTTTACAAAAGTCTGGGAACTAGAGAGTGTACCAACGTCATGGAATGAGTCGATAGTTGTCCCTATCTTTAAAAAGGGTTCACGTCGTTCCTGTAACAACTATCGAGGGATAAGTCTACTTCCGATTGCGTCCAAACTATTGGCTTCCGTCATACTTCGTAGGTTGTTCAAAACCCGAGAAAGATTGACTCGCGAGGAGCAGGCTGGGTTTCGTTCTGGTCGAGGATGTATTAATTATATCTTCACCCTCCGCCAAATGTTAGAACACCGTCATACTTTTCAAAGGCCAACAATCGTAGTGTTTCTTGACATCAGGGCTGCCTTCGATTCGTTGGATAGGACTGTTCTCTCGGATTGTTTATTGAAGAAGGGTGTGCCTGAGAAGTTTATTAACATCCTAAAAGCCCTATATAAAAACACCTCAGGCAGAGTGAGGGCATACAACCACCTCTCTCCATTGTTCCATTCGAGCAGTGGGTTTAGGCAGGGTTGCTCAATCTCACCATTCCTCTTCAACTTTGCCATCGATGACATTGTGGAAACAACTCTGATGGATGTAAGTAATGGCGGTGTGGATCTGTTGCCTGGAGAAAGACTTCTCGACCTTGAGTATGCGGACGATATTGTCTTACTGTGCGATAATGCCCAAGGCATGCAATCCGCACTTAATCAGTTGGCAATCAGTGTCCGTAGGTATGGTATGTG